TATATATTTTCGTCTGTGTATATATATGTGTGTTTTCATGGACACATGTGTCCATATATTTACTTGTATAATTTCACAAGTATGCGTGAAAGACCCTGTAATTTACTCTATACCAAATACGACGAAACAAGATCATAAAATACAAACCCACATGATAGACACTCTTTTTGACACTAGTGTAGTCGGGTGATACTCGGAAAACGCTTTGCCATAATACGTGCCAATTCGATATTTTGTCTCCTGAGCGCATTCTGGTCACAGAAGACATACTCCACACTTGTCGCATATCCGGTCAGAAGGGACATTGTGAACTTCATAGTTCACAGGCATACAAATAATTTTTCACACCTATCAATAGTATTGTCTTTGAGCTCTGTTACCAATTTCAGAGTTATCGTACCAGTAGTATAGCGTCAGTTGCAATTTAACCTGTTTCCGCTCAATACATGTTGACCACCTTTTTCAAATAAAGTGGCAATTTGTTACCAATTTGAAAATTGATTGATTTTTGGAACAAAAAAAGGTGGCAATTTTTTTTGTCAGTTTTATACTTGTTGTGTTAATTTACTGACAAGCAATCACAAACATTATATACACAAGTCATCACATAGATCGTTAGTTTATTTGACTTATATACAGTGACAATATAAGCCCACATGCCCAAATATGCCACCCCAGTGCACAGTATTCAAGTGCAGCTTAATCTGTACACCTTCCTGCTTCACTGCTAAACAATCTCTGTCGAGTTCTATGACTCAGAATAATGGCGTTACAAAAAAGTGTGTTTAGATGTCAAATAACTCCCGATTTATTTATTGTATAGATCTTTTACTTTTTTAGTGTACATAAACCAAGCGTAAGCTTTATATATTTGTTCATACTTTGTAGATTACTATGCTACGTTGTGCATATGTGTTGTGCATGCACAAGGACTGTTTATCAATGTGTTTTTAACTTTTAGTATCAACTATCGTCACACATACTAAATAGCAAGCTATGCCAATACATAATAATATGAAGTTGTATTTATGTGGAAATATAGGCGAAATAGTAAATATGAGATTATACAAGAGAAATAATAAATATGTAACATATATATTTTTGGAAAAATAATAGATATGAAACATGCAAATAAATATGAAATAAATATACCATATTTTTTCATAAATATGGCATATTTTATAAAATATTAATATTCCTAATTTTAAATATGTATATATATTTGTATTTCCTAAAATACTAAATACGTGTATAAAACGTTGAAAAAAATAATTTGCACTTTTACGTTTATTTGTATGTATTTCTCGGTCAGTACTAGACACTCGAAAGTCGAGTGTCGAGTGACGACTGACGAGTCTTGACAGTGGCCAAATCATACATATTCGTTTTTTTTCTTTTTCTAAAAACATTTATTCAAGACCCGTCCCCCCCTTAACTTTATTTTCTAAACTTATTTTGTTCTTCTTTGTTTGCCTGTAAAGTGGAAGAATGCTGCATTCTACCCCGGGTCCGGAGCATACAGACCTGAGGCCCTGAGGGCTAGGCTGTGAGACTAACACAAGAGAGTACAGTCCTCAATGATTTGATTGATAGTATAACTATTTTAATAAAGCCATGAACTTTTTTCTAAACGAAGGCCAAATTCCGCAATCGAAGCTTCATGCCTGGACTTCATCCTTAAATCCGGATTTCGGAATAGGTTCTTACTTATTTCAAGAGAATAGACCCACAGTGCTCTGAGTGCAGTGCAAATATTGTTGTTTTTTTACTTGTATACAAAAATAAATATATAAATAAAATACCAACACTCAGTCAGTGCTCTGTGGTAAACCCTAAAACAATCGGCATAGCCATAAATGGCCTTGTTTTCTTTGAGTAGAATCTTGCATAGAAAGTTAAAAAAGGGTTTTATCATAGCCTTATGATTTTTTTTAAATGTATTATGTTGTGTAAAAAAAATATCAATATCTAAAAATTGTAATGCTTGAATAAAAAGGCAAAGTTTCAAAGGGCCATGACTCCCTTGAGTCCCTTGAGTCCCAGGACATTTCGTCTTTCGAAGAATGTGCACTGATATATCGCAAAACAAATCGCCACAGATCTTCTCATGAATCATCCCGAACAGACTTGAAGGCGGTTTTATTTGTTTTATTTGTTGTCTGTTTTCTTATGTTTTTTAATTAAATTATAAACAAAACAAGTATCACCTGTATACCCCTCCACGCCCCCCGGCCATCAGTCAGCAGCATGAGTCAGCAGACGGTTTAGGGTTTCAGCACCGCTCAGCTGTCTGCAGTATGTCAGCAACTCAGCATTCAGCAGCAGCCAAGTATCAAGAACCAATTTTTTTTAAACAAACAAAACAAAGCAAATCACAAATATGGAATACAAATCAAACACAAATAAATAGTCAAATATGTTTTTCAAGTTTGTTTTTTTGGTGTGTTTTATTGGTGTGTTTTTTTTAACAAAACAAAACAAAGCCCTAAACAACCAAAACAGTGAAAACACTTTTTTCTTCAAAAACTGACACCAACAACTCTTGACAGTTGACACAATCCTATTTTTCTTTTCCAGCAACATGCCAGCTTCTAAATTTTAATAAACAGGCAACATTCGAATCCACAGTTTCTTATCCTTTTCATGGCCCTCCTAAATAGGACGTTTTTTTAGTAAATAGTGGTGGTAATTTTCAGTCGCGCGTCGCAAAAGTCTGCTGGTTGCTCAATAATCTTTCCGAGTGAAATTGCATAGTCTGGCCATTATGAGATCGGGTCAGTGCAGCACAAAAATCCAGTTGAATACATAGATACGTTGGGATGCATGCTTTTCTAGACCATCTCTACGACGCTTTTGTACTCTTTTAATGCAAACTGAAATTCGGGGACAAGAAATAGTATTCGACATAAATATAGTTATTTCTTGTGCCTTTAATCGCGTGTCCATCCCACATATAGTATTCAAAATAGATTCTGTTTTCTCTTGGTGCATCTTCGCGTGTCTGTACTGCAGCCACTCTATAGCTCGATAAAAACGAGGCAAGAAACAGAGACAGCATCGCGTTGTCCAACAACTGTACGGTACATGAGTGAACGGTCAGCTAGCACGCTGCGTATATTCATGTTATCGCAGATTGCCCTTTTCACTTAATCCCTAACTACATATAATCAGCCTCGATGACCTACCACCGAGCCTGATATTGCGCCCCATAACCTTGACCCTGTTGTTGATATGAACCATACTCATTCTGATTAGCGGTTGCCTGAGCAGCCGGTGCGGCAGTCCGTGCCCCGTAACCACCATCTTGTACGGGCGGGGCTGCCTGTGCTACAGGTGCTTGTGCGTATGGATCAGGCTTGGCGGCTGCCTGATGCGCGTACCCTTGTTGAGGCTGCTGCTGTTGCCCGTATCCTTGTTGTGCATACCCTTGCTGTCCATAGGCATTTGTCGCAGGTTGTTGCTGTGTGTAAGCCGCGGTGTGTGCGGTTGCGGGTGCTTGCGTTTGCCCATAGCCTTGTGTAGTAGGATCAGAGTACGCAGGCGCAGTCTCGGCCCCATACGCGTACTGTTGGGCATATCCCTGTTGTTGTTGGGGTGCCTGGGTGTTGGGCTGGGCAGATGGCTGTTGACCGTAAGACTGGTCGTACGCCTGGTCCTGTGGTGCATTGGCGGTAGCCTGTTGTGTCGCATCGGGTTGTTGTGGCCACTGATGCTGTGCGTTGGACTGTGCAGTGTTCTGTGGCACTGGAGGCTGCTGGTAGCCGTAGGTGTTGTAGTCCTGCGTGTACTCCTGCGGTTTCACATTTCCTACGGGTGGTTTAGTAGCTTCAGTCGCTGGTGCCACGTGGTGTGCTGGTTGCTGTCCGTAGGCATTTGCAGTTTGGGGGGCGTTAGATTGAGCGGATGCCTGCTGGGCGTAGGCATTGCTGTCGTGATTGTACTGGCCGTCAGTTCCGTTGTAGTACCCACTATGGTCTACGGTGGTGTCTTCCGGTTGTGTGTAAGCACTGTTGTCGTACGCCTCAAAACCATTGTTGTTCGCCTGGTTATCCTGGTAACCTCCAGCAGCTGCAGCATTTGTATTGTGCGCATTGTTACCGTAGACCTGTTGACCGTAGTCCTGTGGCTGCTGACCATAGTTGTCGTACTGTGCGGCGGCTTCCGCTGAAGTTTGCCCTACGGGCATATTGAGAGCCGGTCCCTGTGCCGGGGCCTTATTCTGGTCGTAGTCGTTGCGACGCGTTGTGTCCTGTTCATATGCCTTGTACTGGTTCTCAGGAGGTCCTCTGTGTGCAGGTGCTGCCGCAGGAGGTCGTCCATACGGCTCATTTCTGCGGACAGACAAGGGCGGTCCTCTGGCACTAGGGGCAGGTACAGCCCTGCTCCCACCAACGGACGGGCGTGCAGGTGCACCTGCAGCCGGCGGTACTCGTGCATTAGCAGCGAGTGGTCCAGTTTTGGTGTAGGGTTCCTGAGCGGGTTTAGTGTATTGTTCGCGGGAGGGGTGGGTTGAGTCTCTGCGGAAATCACGGTCGTTGGGGTTGCGACTGTCGCGCGCGTCGCGGCCGTCGTACTGAGAGTCGCGTCTACCCTCGTCGCCTCCCCCAAAAGCATTCCCAGGCCGTGCTCCGTTGGGGCCACTTAGACCGTTGCGGCCAATAGGGCCTTTGGGGGGGTCTCTGCGCACGGCATTGAGAAGTGGTTCGCCCCTGTTGCCTGGGGCTGGTGCGCGGGGTGGTGCGTTGGGAGGTCCTCTACCGCCCATTGCGTGAGGGGGGGGGTTGTCTGTCCCTGGCATCGTGCACCAGTGGACCTGCACTTGCGCCTCGCCTATCCGAGTCTCTCCTGTTGGGCCCGTCTCTGTCTCTGTGGTCCATGTCGCGGCCGTCTCTGTGGGCGAGTGGCGGTCGTCTGTCATCGCGGTCACCTGGACGCCCGTACAGTATATTCCGCAGGGGGGCATTGGGAGGTCCTGGGGCGCCTCTCAATGGGCCTCCAGGGGGGCGAATGGGAGGTGCGCCGTCCATAGCCCTGTCTCGCATATTTCGATGCGCGGGCGGTCCTCGTTCGTCGCCTAGAATGGGCGGGGGACCGCGCTCTCCCCTCAGGGGCGGGCGTGCGCCAATCAGTCCCCTGGGGGGAAGGCCGCCAACAGGTGGTCGTATGGGTGGGCGGCCATTCTGCGCTGACAAGGAGTATTAGAATTAAAGCAAGCTCAAATTCAATTATGAACAGCCCATTGAGTCAATTTCATACCTGGCAGCTCGGTTGTGAATATGCACCGAAAGCATCTCAAAGCTGCCTATCTAGTGTAAAAAGTAACGAAGATAGTGAACCTCACGTATACAACACATTCGTAAATATATATATATATATACTAAAACCTATATATACATATACTTTTATACTTGTAAATATACATGTATATATGTATATAGATATTAATATGTGTGTGTACATGCATAAATGTATGTATATATATTAATATTTATTACACACACATATATATACATATACACATACAGAGATATAAATACACTGCACATACCATAGGAGCGGGAAGAGGTGCGCGTCCGCGAGGTGGGAGCATGCCACCAAACAGCGGAGGTCTCTGTCCGAGTGCTGCCAATGGGGGACGTGAGCCTGGGCCACCCATGGGAGCCGGAGGTCTAAATGCTGGGTGTTGGGGGTGTCCTGGATAGCCATTCGCTTCAGGCGGTTGTTGCGACTTGACCGCTCCACGATCCTCTGCACGCTTTACCTCGCACTATTGAAATAATTGGTTGGTTTACAAACGATACGGTGAAGATCCGAGCAGCAATAAGGTAAACCAATAGAACTGGAGCTTCCTAGTCTGATTCGATCGATCTCACATCACTCTCTAAACAACACAGTGATACACCGAGTACAAGGACACACAGGAATGTCGTAGGGATTCCATGCACACACCTTGCGGCCGTTGATGATGTGGAAGGGCTCGTGGTTGGCCATCAGGTAGTTGACGCAGTCCACGGCATCGAAGGTCACAAAGGCGAATCCTCGATCGGAAAATATGCTCACCCGCAGAACCTAGTGCAGTACATACCAGAGCAATTAAAAGATACGTGCTGCACGACAATCTCCAATGAACGGAATGACAATTTCAGACAGGCCTGGATAGATACATACATATATGCGTATAGCACACCAACATAACCACACTACATACATACATGCGTGTAACACCCCAGCATAACCACACTAAGGAAAAAAAACTTCCATGACACGACGAGCCCGTTTAAAAAATTAGGGATTTTATATCGTCATGGTAGGTATTCTGATACTATCTAAGCTACAAGGCATCCCCACCTATCGACTGTGAGTACTAATGATATGTTACTATTAAAGAACATATGTACAGTCGACAACGCAGTCTCCGACGTACTGCTACACACGGAGAACTAGGCTACGACAAACTCTTTAGAATACTTCGTAAGAATGCAGGTAAAAAGGCACGCATAGTCCTGCACTGCACACAGGCATGATCAAACCTCTGCTCTGCCTCCTAAAAGCGTTCAACTCTCGTAACTTACCGTTCCGTACTTGCTGAAATACTCTTTGAAATTCGACTCTGTCGCACTCTCTGAGACTCGTCCTACAAAGATCTTGTCCACTTGCGGTAAGAGCTGATTGGTATTCGGGTCACGCGGCGTGTTGCGTCTGAAGTCGACCTGAGAGGATACAACTATTAACTTTAGAATCATAGAAGCAACCGAACTTCTCGTCGGATATCACATGCGGTAGCAAAGAAGCGAACAAGTCATTCTTCCAGTGATACCAAAAATGCTCACACAGCAGTCTACCCTCGAACATAGATCATTCATACACAATCAACAACACAAGGCTAGTGATGGATGTATATGTACACACCACAACCCAAGGTTTCGAATCCAATGGATAGATACACTGAACTTTCTAACGGATAGGCAAAATCTGTATCAGAAACTATCTAATGCCTTGAAAATCATTTTTTGCGTTGTATTTTGCCACGAAGCCGATGGTCTCAGCAGTAATAAAAGTTATCGTCAGGGTCGATATTCTGATACTATCTAAGCTTACGAAACATCACTGACCAGCGGCTACATCAAAATGCGATCATCACTTTAGGAGTTCAGTTTCATACTACAGGGTACCCCACAGTGTACCTCCTGCGTAACAACATCAATCTAATACGCAACACATTCAGCTGCGAAACTCCCACAGAACAATCGCTAGGACAGACGGGGTGTGAGCGCAAACCCTCACAAACACGACTTCGTATATAAACTACGTATGTCTACACGCAATATCTGCTTCAAAATAGATTAGATACATACCGCGCTGCCCTTGACGAACACCTTGTTCGCGGCCAATGCCTTGTCTATTGAGTGATAGTCTCGATATGTGACAAATCCGAATTTCCTGTTGAACAGAGGTGTGCCGAGAGAGACAAGAAGGAATCAATAATAACCACTCGCCTCGCCCTAGATGGGGCGCACATTCTAGCTAAGCTATAGACAGCACCAGCAATAGACATTGCAGCAACTGCAACAGATCCCACACACAAGACCTGCACCGGCTCACAGTCGAATGCAACACCGAAGCACACAAACGCCACGACCCTTATCGCAAACAGGGCCATCGGAATTGCCCTATAGCCCACAGCGAGACCACTAAAAGAAGTAGATACAGCGAACTCACCTGGAGCCTTTGGTGACCTTATCCCGTGCCACGGCGGCGCTGTCGACTGTTCCGAACTGAGCGAAGGCCGCCTTGAGATCGTCTGCGACAGAAGACGCGTGAAAGGAAGGAGAGACACCGTTTAATAAGAAAAGCTTGCTCTTGAGAGAGATGGGATAATGTCACGGAAGAGAAGTGATGGTCTAAATATTATCGGTTGTCGTATTCAAACAATAGTATAGGTGCGTTTAGGTTGTAATATACGAGACTAGGTCGCAATAAATAGGTGTGTATGACTATGCACCAGACGATGAGACACAAGCGCGCAAATGAACAACTAAACTAAGTAATCAATGATGGTAAGGGCATGCTAAGTGGGAAATAGGTACAGTCTATCACGCACGACGGGAAAAGTGGAAATCTATGTACGGCACAGTACAATAAGCAACCCACTTCGCTAAGCTGTGTACGTACTGAGACGCATGAACCACCCTGGTGGGTCACCTTTAGATGAATGCGCACACAGCGCCTCATAGCTAGCCCAATACGTTCACACATTGACATGTCCTTCATAAAGCGTGTACTCCACAAATAATGCAAGATTGTGTGTTTCAGAGTTTCATGCCACACTTGTAAGGCTCGTTCATATGAGTAAAGACTGTCTAATACTTCTTCTGGCTTTCACTAACATAGACGGATGTGTGAGCTGTGAGCAAGGCCATACCATTATCAGCTTCTGGATGCAGTTTACCGACAAACAATTTCCTATTTGTTTTGAGTCCATCAAGAGTAGGAGTATCACGGTAGCAATTGGTTAGACAATTAAGTGTGTCGATAGGCGGATACGGGCGTATATCGCTTCAGATTGCTGCTTACATTCGTACTTTTATCTTGGTAAAAGCGAGGTGCTGCGTAGTGCTGTAGTGCATACTAATGCTAACGGGTCCAGCCTAAATCAGGTCAACCAACAAGAGTGTTCTCACAACTTCTAAACCATTCAAAGATGACTGGCGGCTTTTAGGTTGCCCACAAATGACCAGTGCGAAGTCTATCAACCAGCTTGTGCATTCACTACTTATATCTGTGCAACTATCTTTCAACTTCTCCCACTATCACAAGTGTATGATCGCCACTTGGCATTAGGTGTGCTACGGAGTGTGACTGAAACATCGCAGCGCAACAGCCCAGATCGCAATTGCCTACAAGTGCAACGGGCATCGCGAGCAAGTGCACAAACCGCAAAATAAAAACGTATTCCAAACGTCTGTACCATTTCTTTGGAAAGTACTCAGATAACTCAGATAACTTGATTTCTAGAATAACGGGACGTCGCTTTTAAACTCCGAACTGGGTAATCGGATAGTCCGAGATCATGAGAAAGCTACCCATACACTACACTAGCCCCCGAAATAACTATGCCGTAGGCAAAGCTTGCGCCTAACACGGTACTGAATCTGTGTGTACTTGTTGGGATGATTGAACCCATGACACACAACTACGCTTGCAAGACACAGGTGACTCTCTGTCTGTCGTGCAACAACTGCTTGTATACAAGCAGCTCGGAAATTGTCTTCCAAGCGCAAATATAACTTTGAATCAGAACATAAACCTAATTAGCATTTGAATGCCACTCGCAAAATACACTCAACATTATACATGCACATTAGCTAACCCACATCACCAATGGCACTACTGACTCCATGCGTAATACATCTGCCATTGAGTCTGGGATAAACTGGCAGAAGTTTTCCCAATACCAACTCTCAAAGTCTGACTATATTCTCTTCAACTCAATCAAAAATCTCCATAGCAACCATTGCACGCACGTACATCTACTGTGAAACATATAGGGACTGTATCGTAATCACTGCAGGCGTACTAGAAGCTCTCGCATGAAGAAAGTGCATCACTAATATAAACATAAGTCGGCGCAGAGTTCTTATGCCTTATGGGTATCCACACAAGAATTACAAAAAACCCGCAATTGGTTCTATCCTTGATATTTTTGCAATCAAACAATAAATAACAAGTTAGAAGTAGACACCAAGCTAGAAGTAAACACTGTCCAGTGAATCTATTTCACAACCGGCTTGGACATTAGGCGCTCAGGACGTATGTGCAATGGTCCGACATATCATGCGACAAGGGCAGGTGCTACACCTAAACCCTACGATTATGCGCGAGAAAATCCTACATATAAGCGTGTTCGTCGTGAAAGAGATACATCTTTCCTGTCTATATACTGTGATTGACTTGCTATGTCGCATTTAGTATCACTGCACATAAAGCCAAAGACTGTGGAGGTGGCAATCGATGATGTTGTTCATCTGTAAGCCTGTTACTCGGATATAGAACGACAAATTGAGCGTGACATGTAGATAAAAAAGTACAGGATATGCTCAACGAAGATAAGTAAGGTGTGATAACATCATACAAGGGGTAAACATTATCACAAAATCATGTGCATAGCGCAAAAGCGCAATACAAACTAAAATAACGGGCGAAAGAGAAATACAATCTAACGTAACGCGCGAAAGAGCAATGCATCATATTGCAAGGGTAAAACGGAATTTATAAAGCTACAACCGGCTATATAGTCCGTAGTGAGATGAGGTTCGTCGGCATCAGAAGAAGCAACACTGTGTGAATATGTGTCCAATGAAAACCATTAAACACTGAGTTGGAAACAGATATTGTTTGCAAGTCAAATGATATGTAAGAAACCTAAGCGCAACCTCACGGGATACTATGGTAATGGGCAGTGGATGCCGCAAGTGTGCATACGCATATGGAAGCTTCTCGGTCGCTGTATAAGCTAAATAACACCGAAATACGCGTGCTATTACATCCTATAAATCAATAACTGATGGATATACCTCGCCACGTTACATACAATACATACCCTGGGATAGGAACAGATGGTGCGTTGGCCATGATGTCGTTGGTAGATGCTTTTGTCTCAATTGATGCGTCTCAGACAGTAGATCTGCTTTTGCAGAGTGTGAGGGTATCGGAAGTGATACTAGTGCGCACAGCAGCGCTTGTGAAGTACAGCAGGTGTTGGTTAAAAGGGATGTGTTGTTAGCGTGCCTGAGAGTTTTGGCCCTGTATATGTATACTAAAATTTGATATTTGTTGTGTGAATGCTTTGTGCCTACAACTTTATTTGTTATGCAGAAATGGAGTGAAAGTATTTTTTGCTGTGTGACAGTGAAACGCGTGATGCTAACGACACTTTTGCACGTAATGAATCAAAATACTGTCGTAAATAGTATATCAATATATTGTACACACAGAAACATTCATGTCGCAAACATCATGTAAAAAACTGTACGAATAAAGCAATTCGTTATGTCGTAAATATCTTACGAATGTTGTTTATGTGTTTATTTCAAATATTGTTAGAAACGCTTGTTGGCTATTGACTCTGTTGGGGCGGTTGGGGGGGCTGTCTATAGCAAAACCTAAACCAAAAACCCTAAATCCTAAACCCTTCCCTTTGCGCGAGAATCGAAAAAATAAACTAAAATCGGATACAAATAAAAAGAAACAGATTAAAATTGTACATAAAGAAAGAAGTATGTATATATATAAATCATCATGTCGTAAATATTAATATGGATGATCTAAACATACAGAAAGAATCATGTCGCAAATGGAGATATTTTCAACGATGTACAATTTTATGTCAAAAATAGGATAAAAGTACTGTAAATATATGTCGCAAACTTCAATCAAATGGGTAGTGTTTTTGTTAGTGGGGGGGTGAGTCCGGGGGGGGGGGGTAAATATTTATGAATTCACTGTATACGGGTCTTCTCTACCAACAGATACAATGCTGCAAATTCCAATCAAACATGTCCATCTGTAGACCCCTCAAAAGACCCCCATGAAAATAGTAAATATAGGTATCTAATCACTACGGCGGGCAAATACAAAATATTTCTCGAATGCCAGACTACGAACGGTGGAGATTCAAATGTCAATCTTGTTTACGTTTCAGAAATCGAATGCGATCTATTTACACCGTCATGAGTGTCCGCAATGGTTATTTTAGCAGTATATGTAGAAAAATACATAGCAGGTCACATACAATCATTGCTGCATCTGCATTAACTCCTACACACTCACACGTACGTACGTTTAGCTACACACTCATACACCATGGATGACAATGATATCAACAAGCTGGCTGATGCCACAGCCGCGCAGGAGAAAATGACCAAAGACTACACACAAGAGGCCGATGAACTGGTCACCGAGTGCAAAGCATTGGCGAAAGGTGTGTGGACGAAAGAGGTGGTCAAGCACCAGCAAGATTAAGTGTTATCCCATGTACTACAGGCAGCATGTTTATTTGTTCACTAAATGTCAAAAAAATTGACCAAATTAAAAACACTTTCCGGCATGCTGCATAGAATAATTAGCTCAAACATGTAATAGTTGCTTGCTCCTTGGAGCGGGAATGTATATATGTATATATATATATATATATATGTGTGTGTGTGTGTGTGTGTGTGTTATATATATAGTATAGTA